AAGAAAGAGTTTCAAGTGAAAAAATCAAGGATTAATTTAACGAAAAGAGGACGGGGGCAGCACAACAAATAATGCTCTAAAGTATCAAAGAGAAAAAAAGAAAAAAAATGGATTTAAAGAAGGACTTTCAAAAGAAGATAATCAAGGATGAATTTAACGAAAAGAGGACGGGGGCAGAACAAGTAAATAATGCTCTAAAGTATTAAAGAGAAAGAAAGAAAAGAATAGAATCAAATGTTTAGATTAGGAAGACAAAGCAGGTATTTTCTTAAAAAGTGAACAAAATAGCACTTACCATGCTCCTCGTCATTCATACACAATTCTCCGTAACCAAGTATTATGATCTGCAACAGAATTCATATTTTGAGAGTTTTTACGAAGAAAAAGGGTTTTGATATCTGGGCTGGGGTTTGAATTGTTTTCTGTAATGTGCCATGTGACTCTCCTTCTCTATTTGCCAACTGTGGTCCCTTTTGGACAAACACCCAGAAAGTTGGAGAAAAAAGGGCAGGCATTTTATTTCTGGTTGTAGTTTTAAAAACTTGGAACAAGACCCCAGTCAGGGTACTCTTTGTTCTCTGTTCTCAGGGATTCTTTGTTCTCAGGTGCCATATGCTTCTAACTTTTACAGCAGAATCGCACAGTCAGTAGTGTAAAATGCTTCTCTAAGAATATGGCTAATTGAGATACACATTATATATTGACACCAAAAGCCAATAGTTTTAATGCATTAATAATATATTACCCATTATTTTACAGGAATGATGAAGACTCAGAACAAAGACTTCCATCACGTGTTCCATTTCTCAAAGGTTTCAGGTCCAGGGGCTATTTGAAAATCGAATTCTTAAGGACTATGTAGCATGCTGAAAACCATAGTTTTTACAAGGATAATGGAAATACAGTAAAGTCAATACCACGTAGCAGGGTAGACATAATTGGAGGGCCAGGGGGGAGGGGGGAGTTTAGTTCATGAGCTCAGTTAAAAGTAAAGCTTACGCAACATAAACAGGTAGAAATTAATAACAAAATCGAATGGTTTCAGGAAGGTTCAATATGCGAAAGCCTAGCGCAACCAACTCAATGCTTGGTGCTAAGTGCATTTTAGGAATTGTTAGGTGGCTACCTTTTTCCCCTTTTTTATGCAAGAGAATATGAAATGACTTTTTAAAAAACTTTTATTGAAAGGGTTATCAAGCCAGAAGCCTTTGCTGGTGATCAGCAAAGAGCTTTTAATTACAATTATTGGGCCTCTTTTACCAAAAGGGAGACGATGCTCGTATTATACTTAGTAAGGGGTGCTCAGATTACTTTTTTTGGGTCAAGAATTTCGGCAAAGTTTATTTTAAAGATACACAATTACAGATGGCTATTCATTTATAGATATAATGTGCCCTGTGAAAAGAGAATGGAATATTTGATACCAAAATTCTTCAATAAAGTAAAACTGGGATGGTGAAGAAAAGCAGGGGATACATGAATACAAAATTAGAATCAAAGACGTTATCTCCGTTAAAGACTATAGCCGTCGTATTTGACAAAAACCTCCTGCGAGAAAAAATTGTTTTCCAGTAATTTCCTGTAACCAGTGGATTTTCAAAATTCAAACGGAAAACAGAAACAATTGTAAAACAAAACCCCTTCTTGGGACCATGAATTTCTAAAGTAATTTGTTTGGTATGTTGAAATGAGAAAAATGTTAAAAAAGTAGAGAAAAATTGCAAACTGTCGTCTGGAAAATTTTTTGGGACAAATTTCATGCTGGAAATTAATTTGTTTCTGTTGCTGGTTTGAATAATATCCCTCAGTGCCAGAAATTATGGAGGGTATGCCCCCCCCCCAATCAGCGATCTTGTCAGAAAATTAGGGCTTTTGTCGGATAATTGACGACCATTTAACGTCTCGAAACTACTGCGAGAAATCGTTCTGAAATGTATCTTAAGCAAATCTTAGGGGCGTAATTGCCAGATAGGGTCTGGAGCACAGGCTACCAGATTTTCTGCTCGCTTTTTGCTCGCAAGTGATCCGCACTTCCCCTTTTTTACACCAGGGGCCTCTATAACCTCTCTGTGCCCGAGCATGATGGGAAGGTAAATCTCTTCCGTGGAAGAAAAACATGAATATTGAAACAAATCGAGTGGTTTGAGGGCAATCAAAAATTAATCCCACTGAATTATTTTGAAACGGGAATTTTTTCTTCAAACGAAATCTTCAAACGCTAGAAAAATCTAGTTTGACTTCGTTAAACTTCCGAAATGGCAAAAAAATAATCTTTTATGTTGTTTGCGTATCAATTTTCATTTTTTTCATCTCCTTTGACATAAACTTACGAGGTATGCAGCTCATCTTCACTTTCTTTTCTTTTGCCCTCTGCATCCAAGAAATTCGAGTCTATGGGTTGAACCAACGCCTATACTGGCTCTTCATTCTGGTTCTCATCGAGATTTACACAGAGACTTAAAAAATATCTAGGAAACCGAAACTTTTGGCACTGAATTTTTTGGCATTTAATGTACTCCTAACGAGATATGAGCTTCGTTGTAAATGTACTTTGCAGATTATTGCATTTTCTTCAGAGGTGTATTCCAATACAGATATGCAGTGAGGAAGCATCTCTTAACGCTCCTTCAGAGTGGCTCAATAAGAATTCTTGAATTCTAGACAAACTTTGAAAGTTTGGAGCAGGCACAAAGCCAGCACTGAGAAGGTGTTGTGAGAGGTTTCCCTCAAAGAATCGCGATGCATAAAAAGACGCTCTTGTTACGCTTTTGCCATTTCGGCAACAACTCCCTTTTCATGTAAAATAAGTCACTTAAATAATAATATACAAACAAAAGATGATTAAGGGCTAAGAAAATATGATAGGTTCATTCATTTAATTAAACACGAAAACGAGACTACGGATACTAAATTGTCCAATCATATTAGAGGAGGCTATTCCTGTTACAGTGTGGTGTTGGTGGGGGGTGGGGGGGGGGGTTTAAGCCGAGCAAAGGAAAGATCGGCATGTCATTGATCGAAACGAAAGCGTTCGTTGCTTGTTCTTTTGAGGTAAAAAATTCAGTAAAAGTATTGTAAAGCCTTCAAGGACTTTTTATCTCGTACTTGGCTGAGAGTTTTTGGAATGAAAACGTTTTAACATTTATTTTTGTAATTTTCCTTTGTTGTATAAAAAAGTATGATAAAGTCAGCCCCGTAGAGCCATATGCTTTTATCATTAAAAACTTTCATTTTCATACCGGCAATACACATTATGGACTCCGAACTGGGGTTTAGTGCTAGGGGTCTCAGGGCAGTGGTGGCGCTAGAAATTCCCCGACGGAGGGACTTGACCTTCTGACAAGGAGGTTAGGCAATCGAAAAGAAAACATGGAATCCCAGTTGCACAAACATTTAGATTATGAAAGGACATGAATTTAACAAACAAGAAAGAGCATCTATTCAGAGATTATGGATTAATATTTATGTGGGTTACTCGCTTTTATAATAAAATGTCCCTAAAAAACAAAGACATAAATGAAGAAAGTTCTTTGTAGATCTTTCCGTGATATTTCTATATTCTCAATATTCTAAACTTTTCTGAGTAATAAAAAGATGTCATTTAATAATATGGTAGTTTGCAAATTATTGTTCGTGTCACAGTAAACAAGTCCAAGAAAGATAATACCTGAGGCGGCACCATAGTTACCGCAGAAGGCGGATAAATTTTCGAATTTTACTGATCCTAGTTCGCTGGAAAATGCAATCATTGATGCAATTGTTCTACCTTTCAATACAACCTTACTCTTAGAATTAATGTCCACAGGCAGAATGCTATTTGATGGTTTTAATCGATTTTCTAGTAATCATTCTCGTCATTCGGGCACCCTACATTGAAACATTGTAATGGGGGGTTTGGTTCTCACTGGTTTCAGTTTGCCAATTCAAACATGTCTCTTGAGATCTCCTGAAATTCTGACTTTCTAGAGTAAAGTTCCAGTTAAAACCCCTATACTAAAGCCTTCAAACAGGTAACAACTTCCCCTTGTACTGGAATATACTTTGCAGGTGTGAACAGAAATTAGACCTTAGAAAAGTAATTTAACATCATTGTTGGCTTTATTATCCAAGGAAGTCTATTTTAAAATCAACCACTAGACTATTTGTGATAAATTAGAACAGGGTCCTATTGAATACAATGCTCTCTGTTTAAGGGATAGTTCTTTAATTGTCCAATATAAGTTCTTTCTCTGACCTTACTTACATGATAATTGTCAAAGTATTATTTGCATGAAAATTAATGAAACATTCATTAAAAGTAAGGCAAAATGTCCGAACTACTAAATGTCCAAGATGCTTTGAAAAATAGCAGTGATGTTGAAACCAACTCAGATTCACAACGTATTCAGTCCCACAAGATAGACCGTTTTCGGCTTTTTGGCATAGGAGAGTGTACCATGGTGTTT